GAACCAACAGTGATGGGAAGGAAACCAGGACTCAAATCAATGGTTTCGAGCAGAAGGAAGAAGAAAACATTCAACCAGAACAGAATGAAAAAACAAGAATTCAAAAAAATGAGGAGAGGCTTAGGAACATCCAGGACACCTTTAAACATTCCAACATCCAAATCATAGAATTGCCAGAAAGAAAAGAGGAAGACCAAGAAATTGAAAACTTATTTGAAAAAATAATGAAGGAGAACTCCCCCAATCTGGAAAAGGAAATAGACTATCAGGAAGTCCAGGAAGCTCAGAGAATCCCAAAGAAGTTGGACCCAAGGAGGAACACACCAAGGCACATCATAATTAAATTAGCCAAGATCAAAATGAAGGAGATAATACTAGAAGCAGCAAGAGAAAAGGAGACAGTTGCCTACAAAGGAGTTTCCACTATACTATCAGCTGATTTCTCAAAAGAAATCTTACAGGAAAGAAGGGGCTGGAAAGAAATATTCAAAGTCATGAAAGGTGAGAACGTACATCCAACATTGCTCTATGCAGCAAAGCTTTCATTTAGAATGGAAGGGCAGATAAAGTGCTTCTCAGATAAGGTCAAGTTAAAGGAGTTCATCTTCACCAAGCCCTTATTATATGAAATGTTAAAGGGATTTATCTAAGAAAAAGAAGAAGGTCAAAAATATGAACAGTAAAATGACAACAAACTTGCAGCTATTAACAACTGAACCTTAAAAAAAATAATCTAAGCAATCAACTAGAACAGGAACAGAATCACAGAAAGGGAGATCACATGGAGGGTTATCAACAGGAGAGTAGGAGGGGGAGGGAGGGGGCAAAGGTACAGAGAATAAGTAGCATAAATGGTAGGTACAAAATAGACAGGGGGAGGTTAAGGATAGTATAGGAAATGGAGAAGCCAAAGAACTTATATGTATGAACCATGGACGTAAACTAAAGGCAGGGAATGCCGGTGGGAGGGCAGAAGGGAATAAAGGGGAGAAATGGGACAAATATAGTAGCATAATCAATGAAATATATTTTTTAAAAAATTCCAGAGCCAGAATGGATCTCTGAGGTAATCCAGAATATACACAGATATTTTACAGATGAGGAACCAGAAGTCCAAAGAGAGGCCTTGCCCAAAGTCACACAGCACCACAGTGGCGTGGCTGAGACATGAGCTCCAAAACATCTGGACCAGTCACTTCAGTGTCTGGTCATAGTCAATTGTCATATGGCCATGGGAATAATTTTCATCTCCAAGTGCAGGCCCCTCTCCAGAGAATGGATGGACCTGGGTTTGAAATCCCTGCTCCACGACTGTGTGTCTAAAAGTTACAACCTCTCTGCCTATTTCTTTACCCAAAAATTGGGGCTCAAAAATTACCCTCACCTCCTGTGGCTGTCATGAGGTTCAAGTGATATAATGCAGGTAAAGTCTCAGGACCGAGTTGGGCTCCTGGCAGGTGCTCCCTGCTTAATGAAGATGGTCCTTCATCATCATCCTTATGTCTCAAGGGGCCCCACTGCCTGACTTGCTTAGGGGTGGGGGACATATCAGGGCAGATGCAGCAGGAGGAACAAGAAGAGATGTGTGTAGGGCTTCAGGGTAAGAGTAAGGCTACTTCCTGCTGGAGGAAACACTGAAAGACTTGCTGGAGAAGGTGGCTTCAAGCGGAGGATTCAGAACTCCATCTCTCTTATCCTGAGGCCCCTTAGGGGCTTCCTGAAGACTGCAGGGCTCAAGGGAGGCACCTGCCCTGAAAGCCAATACAAGTCCAAGCTTCTAGCCTGGGTATCCTGGGGGTAAGTCCCTCACTTCTCTGGGCATCTGCAAAACAGGGCCGGAGAGGACCAGACCACCCTCCCTTAAAGATGTCTTCCAGCTCCGACCCTTTTGCAATTCCATCCATACCAATTCCCTGCAGTATCCAAATCTTGCCACTGGGAGGCATTAGGGAACCGAGCTGGAGTCCCCCTCCTTCCAGCTGCTGAGGCTGGGACTACTGCTGGACAATCTCTCCCCCAGCACCAGGTGTTCTTTGTTCCCCCACATGCTCAGTTGTCTGTCCAAGGAACCAGAGCTGGGTGAACATACACATCCAGACATTTGATCCTTCCCACAGCCCTGCAGAGCAGCCAGTATTCTCTCCACTTTTCAGATGGGGAAACTGAGGCCCAGAGAACAGAGGATTTATTCAAGGTCACATACCAGACATGGCACAGCCAAGTCTCTAGCCCTCTTTCCCATCCCCAGCCCCAGAGCAGAGGCTGTGTGAAGGGAGGATTAGAGTCAGATAGATTTGGGCTGGAACCTTGGTGCCCTACCCCTGGCTGTGTAGCACTGAGCAGGTCACCCACCCCTCTGACTCAGCTTATGTAAGTGCCTGGCACATGACAAGTCCTGAACACACGAAGCCACCGCGATTTTTTTCCAGCAGATTTTACAGCCCATGAGAACAGGCACTTGTCTGTCTTACATTGGCATCCCCAGAGCCTGGAGGCCCCCTCCCTCCTGGGCCCTGCCTGGGACTCAGTGTAAGGGTCGCCCTCCTAGAGCCCTTTCCAGCACCCCAGACCAACTCTTTCATTTGCCTCCTCCCCCTGGCAGCCCTGCCCAGTGCCCACACCCACCCGGGCCCTGCGGCAGGGCTCTTGCTCACCCGCCCCCCCTTTCTCCCATCTCTCAGTTGCCTTGTCTCTGTCCCTACCATTTTCTCAGTGCTTCTCTCCTTCTGAACCCCCACTCTACACAACACGCTGTGTTTACAACAACAGTTTTTTATTTCTCTTTTGTCTCCCTTCCTCCCCTGAAGGGAAACATGCTTCCACACTCCTAGGAAAAAATGAAGCTCCAGAAGAGAAGAGCAAACAAAGGACAGTGAGCATGTGGGTGCCCCCAGCCATACCACCCACAGGCCACCCCACTCACAGGCCTCCTCTTGTCAGGGCCTCCAAAAAGGGATCTGTTATTTGCAGAGTAATTAAATGTTGATCTTTATTCTAAGGATAAATAGGGCAGAGGGATACAGGAGCAAGAGGGAGAATGAAGGAAAGGAGAAAAGTAAGCCGGAGGTAAGCAGAGAGATGTGGAAGGAGAAGAGCCAGATGGAAGACTGTGGACAGAAAGAGAAGGGAGAGGAGAAGCCAGAACAGGACTCTCCGCCTGCAGGGAGCTTGGGGATGCAGCTGCTGACCCCAACCGGGAATCTAGGGACACACGCCCTCCAACCAGCGATCCTGACCCCAACAACCCCACCAAGGACGAGAACCTGGAGGGCTGGGTGGCAGGAGCTCCAACTCTAGTCAACCCATCCTTGGGCAGCCCCTCAGGTGGGCATCTTTGAGTGCTGGGTCTGGCTTATCTTGGTGGGCAGGGCCATGTGCACCCCATCTAGATGTAGGACCCTAGTCTGGAGGTCTGGGAACCAGCCAGCAGCAACTCTAACTGCAGGGCTGGGAATCACACCCCAGCTCCTTCCTGAGCACAGAAACCCTCCTGGCAGAGGGAGAGTAGGAGTCATTCTCTTCATCTGTCTATATTATTCTCCAGGGCACTGGGCAGTGTGAGTGAGCTTGGGTGGACACAGGTGTATGCATGAGATAAGGGGGTGTCTAGAGGGAAAGGGGCATGCAGGTGTGGTAGTAACAGGTGTGTGTAGTGTATGCTGTGGTATCTAAGTATGTGTTGTGTCTGTCTTTCCCTATGAGTATAGTATAAGGCCAGTGTTTAAGTATGTCTGGTATTGCAGGGTGGGGTCTCTGCCTATGAGAGCAAACACATGTGCGTACACACACAAGCGAGCATATGCAGTGAGGAGTGCCGGTCTTGTCTCTGTATGTATGGGTAAGGGACATGAGTTTGTGTACAACTCCAACCTATGTGCCTGTCTGTGGTGCATTATTGTTTCCCTGAAAGCAGGTCCCCAGCTTTGCTCCTGGACAAGTGCCACTATCCCCCCAGCTCCTGTGAGCCAGAGTGACAACTGGCCCTTAGTGTCTCTCCAGCAACGATACAGTGAGAGAGACCAGCCCCTGAGCCAGTGGCAAGGAGGGTTACATGACTATAGTTTTACCACCCAGCTGTGGCAGGGGTGGCCCATGGAGTGAATGCCCTGGAAAGAAAGGAGAAAGCTCTTGTGGGCACCCTGCCATACCTTCAGTCTCATCCACTGAGCCCTGGCCCTGCTCTCAGTGAGCCCCAACCCTCCTCACACTGAGCCCCAACCCTGCTCACACTCTGAACCCTGACCCTGCTCACATGCTGAGCCTTGACCCGGCTCACACATAGATCCCCAATCCTGCTCACAGGCTGAGTCACAACACTGCTCACACTGAGCCCAACCTGGCTCACATACTGAATGAAGACCTTTATTTAGAGACAGGCATTAAAATGTCATACGGCCAAAGTTATTTTCCTAGCTCTGCACCTCAGTTTCCTCATTTTTCCACTGACAGTCCTTTGTAGGGAGGGGATTGAGCATTAAATCAGAAAACCCTTATTCGATGGTGGTGCCTTGTAGCTCCTCTGACCCAGTGACACAGAAGAGCATCAGCTGCTGCCACCAGCCAGCCCCCACTCCAACACTTTCAGACCAAGCATCAATAATTTTTGCAGCCTTCATAATAAATAGCATTGTCAGCAAAATGACATCTTTCTAATCTGCTGTAAGACAGATGGATCCCTAAGCTTACTCACTCACTCCCTATCACGCATGCCCAGCCCAGTCTTGTTAAAGAGTGTGGGACACAAGATAGACACCATACCCCAGATAGGGGCTCCTGCAATGCATCCCAGTATCCCCACCCCTCATTCAGAGCGGGGCCCAAAGGAAGCAGTCATGAACATTTGCAAAGGAATAAATCAATAAAAATATTTAATACCTTCTGTGTGCTAAATATAGTAGGTGCCAGTTCTGCTACTCAAAACCATGATCAGTTGATCAATTTGGTATAGAAAATATCATCTGTGGGGAGAACTGGGTGAGTACAGCACAGCCTGAGGGGACTCAGTCATGAATGTCAATGACCAACGAGCACAGATGGGGTGAGTGTTTGATACCCATGGTGAAAGCAGGTGTGCTGGGCTTGTGTATTGTGACCTGCTGGACATCATGGGAACCTGGGCCAGGCTGAGGTGTGTGGTCCATTGGGTAGGTGAAGCGCTTGGCCATGCTGTAGATGGGGCTGCGGTTCTGGTAGACAGATGGCTCAGGTCGGGTATACATGGCTGGCCCAGGACCTCCTGCCACATTCTTCTTGTAGAACCAGTTCTGGTCTGTGGAGGCCAAACTATAGCAAGGAGCAGCTCGGCTGATGGGGTTGTTGGGCCCCAGCAAGCGTGGCAGATGGTAGCTGTTGGGGGCCGGATTGGGGTCCATCACTCTGTATGGGCACCGGTAGCTGAAAGTGTACTTCGGAGCCCTGCGTTCCCCAGGAGGGTGGGTCTTCTCCAAGCAGTAGTGGCAGGAGGCTGGGGTGGAGCTCAGGCCTGAAAGTGGGTGAAGGTGGGGAGCTGAGGCCTTAATCAACCTGACGTGACTTCACTAGAGCCTCCTTAGCTTTGGGCAGGGACACAACCAAGCCTGCACAGGGCTATGGGCAGGGGAGGGACTTAGGCCATCCTGACATCAAAATGTAACACTATTGTCATAATATAAAACCCACAAGTGTCAGCAGAACATCACCCTTGGGCTATCAGCATTCTGACATTATCCCTGTGATGGCACCAAGGAAACACCCTAAAATCACAACAGCCCATGAACTCACTGGTACAGCAAAATTGCTGCCCCAACATGAGCCCCATTTCTATCATAACAATCGCCCTGTGACATATATGTGTAATGTTGGCTTCAAGATAGTAAGTGCTATGACACAGACATGGTGACGTTGGTGTCTTAATGTGACATTGCAGGGAGATGCCAGCATCCACAGACACACCTAGAAAGGGGAGTTATGGCCCTTTGTTCCTGCTCAGGTCCTAAGGGTATAGACCTCCATCCTTCCACTTCCCGAGCCCCGTCCCCTCTCCCATCTTACACAGGTTAGAGATGCGCTCTTCCATGGGTATCTGTGGGCAGCTGGACATTCCAAACCGAGTTATTTTAGGATCCAAGAAATAACAAGGTCCAGGGCTACACGTGTCTGTGATTCCTGCAGGGCAGCCAAAGAGCTCAGTCAGCAACAGAGGCTGCCCCAGAGTGAGCCTGGACTGTGCCCACGTGAGACCCTCCTCCCCAAGAGAAGAACTAAGGGTTCCCTTTTGATAACTTGGGATCTTGGGTGTTTTGGGAACTTTGATTTCCTCATCTGTAAAATGGGACTTTCAACATTCTCAAGAGCTTGCTCAGAAGGACAGATGAACTAACAGATGAACAGCAGCTTGGTTCACAGGTCAGAGACCGGTGTCAAGGGTCGTAATAGCCACATATGGCGACTGTTAGGGTTAGAAAAGGTCCCAGCCTCAGCCAGGGTTTCGCCTGCTGAGGTGAGGGTGTCACCCGAAGAAGGGACCTAGCAAGCACCCTAGATCTCAGACCCCATGTACATACGCCTGCCCAGCCCTCCCTTTTGCTGGCCTTGGCCAGCAGCCTCAGCTCTTCTGTGGCTCTCTGCTCCCACCCTTCCAGGAGGTTCTAAGCCACCCAGGAACGCTTAGGGGCCGCCACCTTTACACTCTTTCCCCATTCCCCAGCTATTCCTACTCAGCTGCTGTGGCAAGTGCACCCATAATAGCCAGACTGAGGGGCCTCAGCCAATGACCAGACAGAAGAAGACCCCAATCTGCCAGCTGGACAGTGACAACATTCCTTTCAAGTCCCCTCAGGTGGTCGAATTGGGAGACACCCACATAGTCACCTCTGTGGTGGGGTGGGTCACTGGGCATCTCAGCCGACTTCCTTCTGGACCCAGCAGATCACCTTGTTGTCCAGCTCAGGAGAGGCTTGGGTTCCCAGGGGCCTATGGCTACAGATGATGGTCCCTTTCCACTGCCACCCCCAAACATACAATAATAATAACCCTCTACCCAAGGGGGTGATGAGCGTGGGGGCACTCACGCTTCTCTGCGTGCCGCATGTGCAGACTACAGGCTGGCTCCCGGAACATGGAGCTGTCATGGCCCAGGTGGCCTATGCAGGATGGCCGCAGGTATTTGGCAGGCCCTGGACCTGTGAGGAGAGACCACCAGATCAGAAGCAGGAAGCCCCCAATACAGTGCAACATTTAGGTCTTTGCTCCCTTGATGTCACATTGCCACAAATCCCACCATCAAGCTGCTTCCTTGAGTGACAGGAGGTGCTCCCAGATAAAATGCAGTTTCTCTTGGGCAGGCAATGAATAATAAGAAAGGAAGAAGTTACAATTAACTGACAACTTATTCTGTGCCAAGTACTACACTAAGCATTTTATATGGATTATTTCAGTTAAGCCTCCCAACAACTCTATAAGATAGAGACTACCATTTTTCCCATTTGACATATGAGAAAATTGAGGCTTAGATATATCAATTTCCCAAAGTCACACAAGCTAGTAATGTGAAAATTCTCAATCAGCCAATAGAGCCCCAATATTTAATCTCATACTAAACCAGCATAGAGCAATAATCAGTCATTAACAATGTAGTAAAAATTAGTATTTTTTTATATCTTATTTATTTATTTTTAGTGGGAAAGGGAGGGAGAAACAGGGAGAGAAACAGCGGTGCCAAAGAGAAACACTGATCGGTTGCCTCCCATGTGCCCTGATCGGCAATGGAACTGGCAACTTCTTGTTCTGCAGGATGACACCCAACCAACTAAGCCCTACCGGTCAGAGCTAAAAATTAGTATTGCTGCTTTCATTTGAGAATAAGATTCAAAGGAAGTGAGGAAAGCTAGAGCTGGGGTGAAGGCTCCAGTAAGTCTCTAGTCTTTTCCCAAAGCTGTTTTCACTTCATGCCTCATGCTGCCCTTCTCTCCTACCTACCTCCCCCTGAAAATTCCCAGCTGCTAACCACTACTGGCAAGATTCAGCTTGGAGGCACAGATCTTCTGTGGGATTCAAGGGGAAATTTTAGGAGGCAGAGCTGGAAGGCTGGAACACCTTCAACAGCCCTGAAGAGAGAGGAAGGAGACCAAGCTCAGGGCAGAGGGGTCTGATCTTACCTTTGATCATTGTCATGATCATAGGGGTCTGCTTTACCTCCTGCCATAAGGGCACCTTCGCCTTCTTCTTTGGGTGCTGCCCATTGAACACAGAGTTCTTGGACCCCTTAGGCAGTTTCATGGCTAGGGGCAATAGCAGCTACTGAGACATCTAAGCAGCAGACAAGGAACTGGACTTGTGTGGGCTCTGTTCCAGGTGCCCCTGCCCAAGCCCTTGTGTCCACAATCTCCCCCACTTCAGAGGTGGTTTTGGGACTGAGAAGGAAGATACTACTCCATCCTGAGCAGCTGAAACCATCTAGGGTACAGCTACCACAGGGCCTAGCAGGCAGGAGCTGGAGATGACATCACTACAGAACTTAGACTGTGAAGCCGTGTTTATTTCTGTCTGTTGCCATGGTGCCTGAGCTGTGATGTAGGGATTCAATGCTGGCAGATCAGTTGTGGAACCCTGAGAACTTGTCCCCACTGCCCCCCCAAACTGGCTACAGAGTCTAAAGAGTCCCCAGGGCCCTGGGTCATTGAAGGAAGAGGGAAAGGAGGAGTGACAGGGCCAGCTCTTTAATCCTGGTGGGAATCCTAAGACTGGGGAAAAGTATAGAAAGAATGAGTCAGTCATGGGTCAAGCATTCCTACAGCCCTCACAGCCCCCTAAAGTGGCCTTTTACCCCCTATCCCTCTCACCTATCTCCCCAATTTCCCACCTATGACCGCCCTTGTACCAAATCCATTTTTCCTTGGGAAAGGATCAAGCCAATTATTTCACACTAATAATTCAATAATTCACTAATAACACTAATAATATTTCACACTAAGGTATAACTGTCTGATAGCTTCCTAGACTCTAATCCCAAGGCCAGTGTCTGTAGAAATCCATGTCTAGCTCAAGGAATACTTGCCTGTTGCTGATATTTCAGGCAGAAAATGAGAATCAAATAAAGGGAGATGGTGGGAGTGGTGCTGAGGCCTTAAGAAACCACTTCCTGTGCCTGTGGTCAGGAGCAACCTAGGATGGTGGGGTGTGAGAAGAAACACTGAATGGTAGGGAAGATACCCAGCTGCCATATGGTTGATATGTGAGCCCCAGGGCCGAAGAAATGCTGGAGTCTTCATCCCTAAAAGCCCAAGAGTTTGGGGGGCCCGGGGGCCTGCTTGCACCACCAGTTCATAGCTCAGATGGGATTTGATGGAAACCAGGAGAGAGGGGTTTCCCTCTAGGGAATATTGGGACTAGATGACAGCTGGCTATAGAAATGTCTGTCACAGCTCCAGTACATACATAAGAAAGCTGAGAGCCAAAAAAGAGAAGGACTTGCCTAAAGTCTCTCCTCAAATCAGTATCAGAGACATCATAGCCTCTCGTCTAATGGAAACCAAAATATGCTGTGCCCTCATTCCCACCAGCAGGCACAGTAAGGAGCAGACCAGGCATGCATGCTCAGAACAGCAGGTAGGGGTCCATCCCAACAGCAGCAGACCTGACCACTCCCCTCACAACACCCACAGAGGAGCCAAGCCTCTGATTTCTGGAGAGGCGAGGCTTGGCAAGGTGGGGATTGGCCCAGCCTCCACTGGCCTGGGGCCACAGGCAGTGCCGCCTCCACACCCCCATTCTCATCAGATTTTCCTGGAGGAAGAAGCTGTGGGCCCGCTGAGCCAGAGCCCTGATGGTCCCCTCGTGCCAATAAAGGCCAGATGTGGGGCTGGGACCTCCACCATCTTGGTCTGGGGGCAGTTTTCTGATATTTCAGACCCAGGGAGCCTCCCTGACACTTCCCTCTGCCTGCACTACTCCTGTCTGTCCTCCTTGTGCACAGTTCTCTCAGAAAAACGGACCCACTCCACACCTCTGCTTCTGCTCCAAATGCTCTCCTCCCTCCAGCATTCACAGACACCTAGCTCACCCCGAAGACAGCTATATGTCCTTTCCAAAGCTTGTGTCTGTCTCCCATTGCCCCTTGCCTGCTCAGTACCCACCAAACAGTGTCTCCTCCCTGTCAAAAGCACCACTCCTCCAAGGGTTCCGGCATCCAGAGTGCCCCTCCTCATCTCCTCAGAGCTGCCATCTGTCCTGGCTCAGACACCTGGTAGCCCTGGCTCATGGTTTCATCCCCCATCTCCCAAATTCCTGCCATTATCCTTGTGGCTTACGTCTCCCCAGGGACCTCCACCAATCCTTTGGCCTCCCAGTTGCCAGACCTCCTCATCTCCAAATACCTCCTCTCCACTCCCTCTCAGCCACCCTCCCCCAGCACATCCTGGCCTTCTCCCTGCCTCACTGGCACTCACCATCTGCCTCCCTTTGGAACACAAGCCCACAGTGCCACCTCACTTACACTAGTACTCACACACAAATTGCCTGCTATCACCGAGACCCTGCCCCTGACTCTGCACTTTCTCCCCGTCCTTCAGTTCCCTCCTGCCTTCATTGCCCTCCTTACCAACATTTTTCCTGGTAAATCACCAGGACTGCCTTGTCTACCTGCACAAGGCAGCTAAAAGTTCATGGCCTTTAAACCCTGGACTTGCCTTTGTGCCACTCAACTGCCCATCTCCACTCTGGTGGGCTTGTTGTCTCCCTCTCCGGAGATCATTTCAAGCATGGTTCATTCCCCTCTTCATGCCTGGCCCTTCCTCCAGCCCCTGCTCCACCTCTTCCTCAGCTGAGAAAAGAGAGGCCCCTCCCCGCCTCATCACCAGTGCCACTGGTTTCCATGGTCACCTGCTCCCACTTCCCTCTGGGGCTGGGAAGGACCCCCACCCCCACCCCACTAAGACTGCCCATCTCCTCTGCCTCTTCAAGAACATTTTGTTCTCCATAGTCCCTTTCTTTGCTTTCACCTCTCATCTGACCCCTTACTAGCTCACTCTACATACCCTTCATTATTCCATCTATCAACTCCCTGGCCCCACATACCTCCTTGTCATAGCCTGGATCCCTCTCCTCCAGTCCACAGACAAACTTCCCCAAAGTAGCGTTTTCCTGTTGTTCTCGCCTCCCTTTCACACTTCCACTGTTCTCACACCTATCGCTCCACTTCAGCTGTGACCTGCATGTGGAAGCTGCAACCAATAGACACTTTCACCCATGCCCAGCCAGCCTCTCAACAGCCCAGAACCAAACTGACTGACCTCCCTCCTCCTTGCAGTACCTCCTCCTAGTTCCAAGATGTTCTGGTCTTCCTCCCATATCCCCACTGCACCTTCACAAGCTTTCTTCCTGGCTCTTCTTCCCCAACCTGACCTTTCAATGTTGGCACATGCCTATTAATTGCAAAGGGAAAAACAGCAACTTTACTGGGAGAATCCTGACAGTCACCACCTCCACCAAGTGACCTAAGTTAGCATCATCTGCAATGGGACAGAGAGGTGCTGTGTACCTCCAGAGAGGGTGCGCTGAGGACACACCATCTCCTCTGGGCTGTTCCCACCAAAGATGCATAATCTGAATCCAATTATGAAGAAACCAGATTAAACTCAAATCAAGATCCACTTTACAAAATAACATTTCCATGGGGTAGGGAGCAACCAGGGGGATGGAGGGATTGAGCAAAAAGAAAAAGAGAAAGACCTCATTGGCAACAGTGTGGTGATTGCCAGGAGGAAGGGGTGGGGAAAGGTGGAGGAGGGTAAAGGGGGATAAATGATGATGAGACTTGACTTGGGGTGATGAATACACTCTACAGTGTACAGATGATGTGTTGTGGAGTCGTGCACCTGAAACGTGTATAATTTTGTTAACCAGTGTCACCCCAATAAATTCAATAAAAAGGAAGAAATATATAAACAGAAAAAATAACATTTCTGAAATGTCATGAAAGACAAAGAAACACCAAAGCATGTTTCCTGATTAATAGTAACCCCAGAGATAGGACAACTAAATGTCACATAGGAGCCAGAATATTCCTTTACTATCAAGGATGTTATTGGGGAAATGGGCAGAACTGGAAAAAAGTTTATGGCTAGTTAAAAGTATTGTACTAATGTTAGTTTCCTGATTTTAATCACTGCACTCTGATTATGAAAAAGAAAGTCCTTTGTCTTTAGAAAATATACACTGAAATATTTAAGGGTAAAGGAACATTACATCTGCAACTTACTCTCAAACAGTTCAGGAAAACACATGTATGTACATAGAAAAGAATTTAAACTGTGGTGAAACATTAGCATTTGGAAAATCTAGGTGAAGAATATGTGAGAAATATTTATAGTGGTCTTGCTAATTTTCTGTAAGTTTGAAATTATGTCCAAGAAAGTTAAGAGAAAAAGATGCTGATGTGTCACAGTTTGATCCCAGGCCTTCCTCTCATCCACCACCCTCCTTGTGACTGGGTAGTCTCCTCTTCTCTTGTTGCTTCGGTCCCATCATCTGCACCCCAATAATTCCTGGATATATGCCTCTGACCAAGACCTTTTTAGGAGTTTTAGACCCACATATCTGACAGCCTGCATAGTGTCTCCTGGGTTTCTCATAAACATCTCAAAATCAACATGCCCAAAGCTTTTGTCATCAGATGCCCCTGGGCCCGTTTATCTCAATGAATGATGCCAGCACCCATCCAAGTGCCCAAGCTATGTCCTAGGCATCTCACTTGTCCTTAATCACTAACAATCATCCAACAATCACTAAGTGACATTGGGGAGCCTGCGAGCTCCCAAAGACAGTTTCTGTCATTTACTCTTTGTGTCCCTAGCCCCCAGCATATGGTAAGTGCTTGAGAAATATTGTTGAATGAATGAATGAATGGATGAATGAGTGAATGAATAGATCCATTGCTTGATCAAGGAAGCATCACTCCTCAAGGGAGCAGAGTCTTACTTTCTGAGTCCCAGACACATTTTAATTCTGACTCACTGGACTACCAGTTATAGTTGTGCAGGTTTATATTAGTTATCTATTGCTGCATAACAAACTTTCCTCAAAACCTAAGCTGTTTCTGTGTGTCAGGAGTTCAGGAGTGGCTTAGCTGGATGGTTCTGGCTCTAAGTCTCTCAAAAGTGGCAGTCAAGATGTCACAAGTAGGGTCTGGAAGTTTGGGTCTGGCAAATCCACTTTCAAGATGGCACTCACATGAATGGTGACTTGATGCTGCCTGTTGGTAAGAGAACTCAGTCCTGTCCACATGAGTCCTCCACAGGCTGCTTTACTCTTCTCAAGTCACTATGCATGGCTTCCTCTGGAGCAATCAGTCAGAATAGAGCAAGGCAGAAGCTTCTGTGCCTTTTATGGTCTCCCCTTGGAAGTCATAGTCCATCATTTCTGCAATGTCCTATTGACCGTGCAGGTCAGCCCTATTCAATGTGGAAGGTGGCTACACAAGAGCATGAATGCCAGAAGGTGAGGGCCATCTTGGAGGCTCGCGACCACAGGTTTTTACTGCTCAAGGACTTCTAGCCACCAGGGCAGAAATCCAAGATCTGTGTTCTTGTGTAGAGTGGCATATCTACCACTCCCCACACAGGCTGATCACAGACAGCCCTGTCTGCTGGTTCCAGCTGACTTTTGGTTGTTAGTCTTGCTTCTCCTCAAAGGGACTCACAGGAGTCATGTGGAGAGCAGGACCCTGGTATTAACACTTCCCATCAACATAACCATCAGGCACTGCCCTTCACAGTTTATGAAGTCCTAGCACCTCTGTTGGAGGGTATCATCCAAGCACCATGGTGGTTCTACAATTTACAGGTGAGGGGAATGGAGCAAAAGAGGTGCAGTGACTCACCAGAGGCCACACAGAGAGGCTTGGCAGAACCAGACTTCTGGCTTCTAACCCTACATTCTTTCCACTGCCATGCCCTGCCACCAGCTCAGACTCATGTCCCCTAACACCCATTGAAGCCTCATTCATAATCTTGAGCAGGTATTTCTCATCCTTATGGGAAGACCTCCCCAGCCCTGGACCCTGAGCAAGTATATGCACAGGTTTTCCATTCAAACGGGGACTGACCGTTCCCCTCCCCTCCCCTCCACCAGGCTCTCTCTGCAGAAAGCCAGATCTCTACTGGTAGTGCACAGCATGGGTTAACAACATGAACCAATATTTAGAAATAGTGCAACCCCAGGGGAAGTCAGCTGCAGCCAGCTGGTCATAGCCACTGTAGCCGCAGCCTTTGTGGACGCAGTATGGAAGATGAGTGTCTGCTCCTGGGAACAGAGGCTCTGAGAGGCTCCTCCCACCCCCAGTCTGTCCCCCCCAGTAGGGCTTAAGCATGGCTCAGGCCCTGTCCCTGGCCAAGGCAAAGTCCTGCCACTGGCCTTCAGTCCACATCCAGCCCCCGAGGTCAGCAAATAAAATTTTTCAGCTCCTAAATGTTGTGATTGTTGGGAGTAGCTGCCCCACCCCTTCTGTGCCTGGCTCCTGCACTTGGAGTAGCTCCATCAATACCTTCAGCCTAGAGCAGGAGCAAGATCATTCCTAGCAGAGGCCCCCGGTCAGAGGCCCAGGCCCATGAGACTCCAGGGCCATAGAATCGGGGCCAGAAGCCTGTGTCCCCTTACACTGTAGTGGCCTGAGCTCTGTGTTCATGGAAGAAGGCCAATTCCCTGACAGCAGGACCTGGGCAATGGGAGCATACCCCGACTCAGGTACCATCCCATCTAGGGCACAAGCATCACCCTTTACCAGCAAACTGACTTTGGCTACAGGCTTTTGGGTGGGGCTCAGGCGGTCAGGGTGCAAAACATAGAGGCATTCAGAGTGCCAGGCCTTGGCCAAGGCTACTGCCAGAGTGAGCACTCTTCGTCCCAAAGCATTGAGGGTAAGAGTGACCAGGAGGCCCTGGCCAGCTCTACTCAGGGCCAGAGTTTCAGGGTCTCAGGGAGCATGCTAAAGAGGCTAGGGAGGGAGCAACTGAGGAGAAGGCAGCAGGCACTGCCCAGTCCAACAACTTGCTCTGACACAGTGGGAGGTGGTCAGGGACCAGTTCAAAAGCAATGCAGGGTCCCAACTTTCTGACAGTCTGCCTGGCATGATGCCTCTCCGCACTGCTCTGGGATTTAAATGCTGGACTGCAGGCTGAGCCAAGGCCAGGCTTGTGTGTGCCAGAGCTCCAGCATCACTCTTCCACTGCAGCCTCAGTCTTCTCATCAGTGAAAAGGGAACACTGTCTCCAGACACACCACCTCCCAGGGTTGTCAGAAGACCAGATGAATGTTTTGTAAACCAGGAGGCCCAGCAGAGAAGTTGAGTTGCCGTCATTTTTCTGGGCCTATTTCTTTCCCTAGCGAGCAGTAAGGTAGGTGGGGCTTTGAGCTAATCCTGACTCCATTCAGAACTGAGGCTGGAGGTGCCACAGTGGACTCCTGGTAGGTAAATTTGTATGCATAGCGATCGAGCAGAGGGCAGGAGATGGAGAAGGGGAAGAATGGCAAGATGGGGTGCATGGAAGACTCCACCTAAGTTTCCAATTCATAAATAAGCAAAGGCCTTCTCCAATCTTCCTTTGCCATTCCTAAAATTAAAGCTCTATTCCTCTAATCACAATCTTCCCAGCAATCCCCATGCCATGCCCCAGGCCCACACTTGGGCAGTAATTAACCCCTAATAAGGACCAGGTGCCTTACTGACTTGGGGAGAAGGGGAAAAAAGGGACAAATTGTGGAATCAATGGTTTTATTGCCACTGAAATGAGCTGAGCACAGCCCTGCCCCAGGCCTTTTAGGGTGAACTAGACAGGACTTCTTAGGTTTGCCAAAATTCCCATAGAACAGAAGCAACTGGCTTCTTAGTCAACCCTGGAATGCATTTATTGAGTGCCTACTATAGGCAGCTGCCTCCGAAGAGGGAAGGAAGTTCAGCCTTTAAAGGCTGAGGGTTTTCCTTTAAGGGAAGTAAAGAGGGTAAAACCTATGCTAACGGAAACACAGGAGGATGGGCAGCAAAGGAGAAAAGGAGAAACAAGGACTAGTATTTCTGAGCACTTGCTTTACACCAGGCCCTGGGCTAGGCCCCTGAGGTACATTAAAGCATTTAACCCTCACAAATCCAATTTTAGAAATGAAGAAACCAAGCCACATAAAGGTAAAGCAACTTGCTCAAGTTTGGACAGCTAATTATTTAGCTGGATACCATGGAATTGAGAATCCTTCCTGCCCTGTGGGCAAGCGTAGCACATCTCTCCTTTACAGACTGGGAAACTGAGGCCCTCCCTGCATGGCAGAGAAGGTCAAGCTGGAGTTTGAAATCAGGGCTGGATTCAAGACCAATGCTCACAACCACCTCACAGACCTCAGCTGCCGCACTATGCCATGATGGGAGGAGTGCTGGGCTGGGGGTCAAAGACCTGGCTCCAGCTCTTAGCAGCTGTGGACACTTACCCAAGTCCTGTAAGTTCTCTAAGTGTCGGTCTCTTCATCTGAAAATGGGGCTCAATTTTGTTGCAGACTGTAAAGTTTGTACACATGGTGGGGATGTTACTGGGTCAAGGGGGAAAATTGGGGAGAGTGTACTTGGTGAGACTGATGGTGGGCTGAAGCAGGCAGGTGGGACAGAGAGGTTCTGATGGAAGAAGGGAGAGCACTCCAGGGGCGCTCTGCCCCCCACTCACTGGACATAAAAACTGAGGCCAGGCAATGCTGATGCTGGGGCCAGCAGAGAACAGGCAGAGCCTCTAGGCCCTGGAAGCTCTGCAATAATATGGCATTTTCTCCTCCTATTTGGGACAAGGATGATGTTGTTGCCTGGGAAGGAGCCAAGAGGAGCAGGGCCCCAGCCCGAAGCTGTTAGGTAGGAGCTAAATCCAGGGCCAGATTTCCAGGAGGCAGCCCCAGAAATTTGAAACATCAAATTCAGGAGCCAGGAGGCCTGGAGTCCTGGTACCAAATGGTCAGGGGCCTCATCTCCACCTGGGGGCCTTGAAAGAACCACTTCCAGCTCTGAGCCAGTTTCCTACTCCATGAAATGGGGGACGGGTGGTTTTACCCACCTGGCAGTGTTATTTTGAGGCAAATGATACCATGGAATTGAGAATCCTTCCTGCCTTGTGGGTGAGTATAAAACATCTCTCCTTCACAGACTGGGGAACTGAGGCCCTACCTGCATGGCAGAGAAGGTCAAGGTTGCAACACCAGTGAGCACAGAGCCAGTATAAAACCTCAGGCTGGTGCCTCTCTGCACAAAGAGTCCTGAGGAGACCTCAGAGCCAAAGAGGCCCCAAAGCAGTCTGTGTGGTGGGGTCCTTTCTCCTAGGCCTAGTGTGAGGACCCCTCCACCACCACTACCAACCCTTGCAAGAGCAAAAGAAGAGAGAAGTGAGTGGGCTAGCCCAACTCATGTGGGTCTGGTGTCCTCTGGGACTTTGGTCCAAGACTTCAAAGTGAAGCCTGAGTCTGACTGAGCTGTAAGGATCCCCTGACCCCTGCATGGGAAAGAGCAGCCCAGCACTGGCCCTTTAAGAAGGTTGTTGGGGGGGCAGGCGGGGAGCCCCAGCCTGATGAAACCGGAGCGCTGGTCTGGCCTGGTCGCGCCTCCCGCTCCGCCCCCCGAGTTAAGTCAGCGGCAGACACCAGGAGCCCAGCCCACACCAAAAGAGCCTGATCTCTCAACTGGAGACTTTGTTGCCCAGGTTCTGGATCCTGCTGGGCTCCTCTCAAGTCCTGCCACCAGCCTGCTGTGATGCATCCAGGCCCTCGGCACCCAAATCTGGCCCCTGCCCTGGCCCTGGCTTTGACCTTGGCTATGTTGGCAGAACCAGCATCTGCAGGTAAGTGAGGGGCCTGAGACATGGACCCAGACTGGCAGGAACTGTGGCAGATTTCTTAAAGAAAAGGGGCAAGAGGGCCCAGGAGTGGCCCCCAGACCAGGAGACAAGGAGGCTGCGCTTCTGCCACCCTAGGCTGGGGTCTCCGGGAGTTCCAGCAGGCACCGACACTCTCTATCTCAGGGTTACATGGGCTCTGGTTTCCTGAGCTTGGCCCCAGAGTGGGATTGCCTAGGGCATGGCTCTGTCCAGGATTGTTCTCCATACCCAGTGGAGCCACCTCAATGCCACCTGGGCTCCCTGAGCCCAGCAGGCTTTCCGTGACCACATACTGCCCAAAGAATACCCAGTGAGAAGTACCCCAGCTTCAGCTACCCAGGCCAGGAATGGGGAGTACTGCAAAGCAAGAAATGGGGATACAGCCACTCTGCCCCACCCTATGCTGGGTGGGGTGGGGCACAGACACCTCAGCCTCCACCTCCTCCAGCTGCCTCCCAGCTCAGCTCCTGTTCCTCCTACCCCCACTTGTAACCAGGTGAATTTTCTGTCTGGCTTCTTCATCACCACCTTCCTCCTGCCCTCCTCTTCCCCTTCCTGTCCTTCTCTCTCCTCTCTCCTCACTGAGAAGACCTGGTGGATGACAGACAGGACCACCCACTCTCCAGCCTCCTAGATGCAGGGATGGTGCCCTCCATGTCCTACCCTCCAGCATGCGCTTGTCGCCCAGACAGCCCTGTGCAACCTCCCTGTCTCAGGCATTGGTGGCTGACCCCAGCAGAGGCTGAATGGTAGTCTGCCTTCTGAAGGGTGCTAGGATATGTCTCCTCTCAGTCACATGCCAGAAATCCCACCATTGCAGCATTCTCCCTTTAGTTAAGGCATAGTCTAGTTATTCCATAAGAACTGTAGCCTCATGTATGAATTAGTGCTTCAGCCTACAGATTTCGGGACCATTCCCAAGAGCAACTTTGAGCAGAGAAAGAGCTGAGTCTCCCTTCCAAGAGCCCAGGACATGAGAAGGGAAATGAGTCAGGGGAAGACCCCCCACACACACACTAGTGTGAGTCAGAGCCGGATCCCCAGGCTTTCTGCTACTATTCCCAGGGATCCCATTCTCCAAAATCTCAGGGCCTAGGTGATGGGCTGAGCCTTTAAGGAGGCGGGAAGGGGACAACTTAGGTGATTGGGGACGTCCGTTCATGTAGTTCCCCAACCTCTAGTCAAGGGAAAGGTTCCAATACCACTACTTTCTTGGGCTTCAACTTGAAAGAGCCTCTCAAAATGTCTTTGGCATTGACACCATGCTGGACAATGAGGAGTACACAGAATGCACAGGCTGAACTTGGATTCATTCAGGAGGCAGAACAGCAAATTAAAAGTCAAACAGCAACTCCTATCATTTCCATCAAGATCCAGAAAAAAAAAGTATGGAGAAGAGAAATGCAGAAGCAAGCTGAAGCAAGACAGAGAGTGACCCTTGGGCTAGGACTTGGAGGGTGTGAAAAGGTCGGGACTCCAGGAAGGGTCTCGGGGAGCAGAGGCCCTGGGCACGAGCAGAGAGATGTTGAGCTGAAGGCCTGGCTGCAAGGCACATTTTGAGCACAAGCCAGGGAAAGCAATTGCATTGGGCACAGAAACCTTAAATGGCAAAATGCCTTCTTGAGGAGCCACCTATGTTTTCTTGAGGAGCCACCAAAGGTTTTAGAGAGGAGAGCTGCATGTGCCAGTGGAACTTTATAATGTTGAACCAACTCCTGCCTTTAGGAAGGACTTGAAAATGGATAGGGAGTGAGTGAGCCGGTATCCTCTCCTCCTCCCAGGCACAGCTCCCCTCCAAAAACCCATCTTTGTCACCATGCCTGGCCTTGCTCCCCATCCTAGTCTCTGCAATAGGGAAGCCCCTGCCTGAGGAGTGTGTCCCTCCCACCACCCATGGACATCCCTGGCCCCAAAGGCCTGCAAGATCTAGGTACTAGATTGACACATATTAGGCTTTCAGGTCATAAGGCCTGAGAGTCAAGCACCCTTGGAAACAATCTAGGCCAACCTTCCAATTGTACAGACATGGAAACTGAGGGCCCAGGGAGGAAGCAAAGTGCTGTAAGTCCCACAGAGGAGCCCAGCTACTGAGGAAGAACTCCCAGTCTTGCTTTGAGGAAGTTCCTGCCTTTTTGGGGGGCTAGGCTTGGGCCACTCTGACTAGAGGTGACAAGTATGGCATCCAGCTCCTTCAGAGCACTGTGGGAGGCCCTCAGCAGAGTGACAAGCATTGAAGAGACTGGGTTTGAGCTGATGTGGAGAGGCAAATCTAGAGGTCAGAGTAAGCACAGGGCCAGTGGCTCCTGCATCTCTTCCTTGGCCGGCATAGCTGACTTTGAAAGGTAGAAGATGAGGGGCTAAAGTGGCACCTGGAAGGGAGGGTTCCTGTGTAACCTGGGCAGGGGGAGAGGCTCTGAACTAACAGGGGTGTCTTAGAGAACATAGGGGGATCAGGTGCAAGGAATTGAACCAGGACAGACTCTGAGGGTATTCTGGGGTAGGGAGGGAACCAGTGATGTTGGAGACAACCTCTGAGCCACGCACATGCTGCCCTGAGCCTCTGGGGCAGGGAAGGGGCCAGGGCCCTTGGCCCAGCCCACCAAGACTCTGGAAAAGCTGTTCCAGAACCAAGTATAAATGAGCCCCCAATGTTTGCCCACCGACCTGGGCAGGACAATAAGGGCCTTTCAGCACAGCCACCTTGGGGGCCCAGGAGGGGCCGGGCCAGGTGGTCCAGGCCACTGGCCCTGGCCATGGCTAGGAGGGAGTAGTTTGTGTGGGGAGCTCTCAGAGGAAGTATATAGGCTTTGTCTGGGAACTGGGCGTGCTGCCCAGGAGGTGGCCAGCAGGGGAGGGCAAGTTGGAAATCACCCCCACATACACACTCACCGGTGCATACAGATGTGGGCTCACGCACGAAGACAGAGAACCCAGCACACAGCCAACTGCACTCACAGACCTGGGTGGGTGGCTGCTGCCTCCTACCTGGGTGGTGCCTGGATGAGGCAGGTGAGGACAAGATGAGGGGAGGGTGCTATGTTGGGCTGTGGCTCCTATTCAGTGCCCAGAGCAAACGAACAACAGGGCCTTTGGGCCTAGGACTTGAGCCCACTCCCTCCGTGGTCCTCTGCTCCTTCGATTCCTGGCCCTATCCAGCTCCCCTTTGCTTCCAACATGCCTCCAGCCCCAACTCCAGTCTAGTTCTGTAGAGCCAGAATTCTAGTGTTAGGATTCCTTCTTCAGGAGCAGGCTTGGGCTGTATTCTAGAAGTACTATGTTACCATTATTGAGGCATGTGTAGGAATAATTTTTTAATTAACTGAATTAGTATGAACAATTTTGTACTTGGATATTCTCTGGGGTAGGGGGTCCTAGTTCTTCCTGCTTCTCACGAGGGCCCATAACTGCCACCAGGGGAGAGGGTGCAGCTATGTTATAACAGGGCCCCTACCTCCAGAGATGGCCTGGGGAGTGCGCCAATCACACTGCTGCAGCCTCACAGCCCTGCACGCCAAGAAAATCCTGTTTTACAGTTGAGAAAATGAGGCTCAAGGCCCAGGAGGGGCTGGCCTCAGGTCACTGAGCACACAGGCCACGGCACCAACAACAGCTGGCTTTCCAAGTTATGGCCAGGTGGACGGCCACCCACCAGTAAGCTCAGGCCCCCAAGCAGGGCAGAGAGGTCTCCCCGAGGCCCCTAGATCTCTGTTCCCGTCTCCCCATTCCCCTTCAACATCCCCTCACCTCTCCAAATTTTCTCTACTTTCTGAAAGAATAGGTAAATACTCTTCAAGAAAGCCCACTTCTCCTCTAACAGCTGAAATGGCAGAGGAAGCCACATTTGTCTCAGATGCAGGGTAGTGGCTCTGGGGAAGCCACAGCAAGGTGACTTGGTGACATATTTTAGACAGTGCCTATCCTGTCGACCATGTCTTCCTCTCACTCAGCTCCTGCCCAAGCCCTGCCGGCTCCCAGCCTGTGAAGGAGCTGGTTCTGCCAGGCCTCCCGCCACTGCTCCTACTAAATTGTCTCAGTGTGTGTCTCTCCCATGGTTTAACTGTCATGGTGGGTCAGCAAGACCACCTCCCCTCCCAGACCTTACTGCAGAGACTCCCCACCCCAGACCTCTGCCCCATGGTTCACAGGGAAACCAGGGCCCAGAGAGGGGCAACTACTCTCTCAGAGTCACACAGAAAGTCCTTAGCAGAGTAGGGATTGGGCCTCTCTGCTCATTGTCCTTATACCCTGGTTTGGGCGTGGCCTTGCCACAGGACCAGCAGCTGCCCAAGGACAGACCTCCCACCTGCTTTTCTCAGGGGTCTCCACTATCTTGCTGCACACAGGACTGGGCCCTCAAGGGGCATAGAGATCACTGAGCCTACCAGGGGTTTGCAGACTCTACCCAAGGTACTCCAGGGCTCTACAGCCGTGTCTGTGGAGAGGGAATGCATGTTCCACTCTAATTCATGCATAGAAGCTCTGCGGGCATATGGTTATAGAAGACTGGGGTTTTGTTTTTGATAAAGTGTTCTATGACAGGGAGGGAGGGAGGGAGGGAGGGAGGGAGGGAGGGAGGAAGGAAGGAAGGAAGGAAGGAAGGAAGGAAGGAAGGAAGGAAGGAAGGAAGGAAAGAAGGAAAGAAGGAGGGGGGGGGGAGGGAGGAAGGAAGGAAGGAAGGAAGGGAGGGAGGGAGGGAGGGAGGGAGGAAAGAAGGGAGGAAGGGAGGGAGGGAGGGAGGAAGGAAGGAAGGAAGGAAGGGAGGGAGGGACGGAGGGAGGGAGGAAGGGAGGGACAAAGAAAGGCAGGCTTGAAAACCAATAAATTGCTTTGAGTTAAAACATACTGACAGCAGGGGAGATTCAGGTCAGACACAAAGAAGAACTTCCTGGCTTTCAGAGAATCCAGATCATAATATAACCAAGGACCCCCTAAAAGCTGTCCTTTCCCAGGTGGAGCATAGTCTG